TTAGCAGAAATGACTTAATTCAAGTAGAATTTTCTTTCATTTTCATATTTACATCTGTAATTTTCTAATCTAAGATAAACATAATTTACAATAGTTATCCTTATAATTAGTAACTTTGAATATCAAGAACCAAATTGTTTTTATTGGTTCATTGTTTCTTATCCTCCCAAAGAAAAAAATTACACACAAAAAATGTCCTAGCTGTGTATTGGGTCATGGTTTATTTTCCTCTGTGATATTTAACTTCACACATTGTAATGACATGGAGTGCAGTGTAGGGCTGTCATTTGGGAAAGATTGATGAACTTTTTTGCACACTTTTTTTTTTGGTCACTAGACCCTACTGAAAATACCCTGTTTCCCTGATAACGCTTTAAGCGTGAGTTGCTACAAAGTGGCGAGCTGGACATGGCTCTCACAGTTCAGGACCTTTCCTCTAAAGCAGCATTTAAACTCCTGCCAGTATCCGCAGTCATCTGGACCATAAGTGGGTCTGAGCCGTACACTTAACACAACTGTAGTTTAGTCAGGAGCCCACCCTTCCCTCCTTCTGCCCTGATGACCTCACCTTGCGTTCAATTAATTCTGTAACAACCACCCTCTCATGAGTGCTTCTTGCCAGCCCAAGTTGATGGGAAACCCTCCCCCAAGGTCTTTCTATGCATGGCAGGTTTCCCAGGGGCTGGCTTCTTCTTCTCCTTTGGAAGTTCTGCCCCAAGAATGGGAAACCACAGGTTGTCCCCCAAATGGAAGGACAATGAGACTTGCAGTCCCTGTGGGTCCCAGGAGGCGCCAGACCTCTGGAGTTCAGAGGAGTCCTGGTTCATCCCACTTAATGTCAGCCAGTCTTCCTTAGACCTGCATCGCCTAAAACAGGGATGCGAAATGTTTCTTGACGTCAGTGTTGCGTGGCAAATCATTTTGCGGAATGCTTGATCATGGAGCACACAATGCCGGGTCTTGTTTACCCTCACGTAGTCTTGAATGCGTTAAAAGTATTGGACCATGGAAATCAAGCTTACTTAGCTGGAGAATCTTTTTGCTTCGTTTAGCAAAAATGATTAGTCGTTAGTGAGACCATGGTTTGTGCTGTTCAACCTCATATAGTGTGACTGGGCTGGGGCTTGGAAGGAACAGGACTCTTGGCCATGTGATCGGCATATTCCACCAGACCCCAAATCTCAGTGAGGCACAGGGGTGGGCACTGTTAACACCCAAAGCTTCTGCTGGGTGTTATTAGAATCTGACTGTCAGGAAGATGACTAGAACTGAGAAGTACCCCAGATCCCTGAAATGACAAGGGTCTTTCAGGCTTCTATGCACAGGTCCTGCTGTCTCTTGCTTGGTGAAGTCTAGAATGCTTCCCACAGTGAATAGAGTTTACAGATCTTTTTGGAATGACATGGTGTAGTAGAAAGAGCACAGGCTTTTACATGGGAGAATCTCCTGATTCAAACTTGTCATTCATGGTTGAGTGTCCTTATATTCTCTGAGCTTAAGCTTGTTCTCCTGTAAATGGGGACATGCCATCAAAAGTGAAATGCGTAAGCTAGGCATGGTGGTGCTTGTCTTTAATTCCAGTATTCTATGAGGCTGAAGCAGGAGGATCACAGGTTTGAGCCCAGCCTGGATAACTTAGTGACTTAGTGAGATATTCTCTCAAAATTAAATAATAATAGGGGTCAAGGAGATAGCTCAGAGGAATAAGTGCTTGCCTAGCATACACAAGGTCCTGAGTTTGATCCTTGGTACCACCAAAAATTTTAAATAATAATAAGGGCTAGGTATGTAGCTCAATGTGAAGGCCCTGGGTACAATCCATAGTACTAGAAAAAAAAAATCAGTAAAAGTGCCTAGCTCACATGGTATGATATCAGACACATAAGGCACTTAAGTTCTGGTTCCTCTTCCTCCTTCCTCTACAAGTGGCATCCCAGTTCCCATGGCCACTACAAGGGCTACAAGGCAGATTTTCTAGAGCTCTGGGTTTTATTCACACCACTTCTTCCCACCCAGGAACTCTCTGTATATCTGCTCTTCTGGCCGTTTTGTAGTGAAGTGTGGACACGATGGGTGATAGGGCCACAGAAAGAAACTCAGAATGGGATGTTTTTCAAGTTGATGCTCTTGTACAGCATAATAGAATGCAATTGTTTAGAAGTCCCAATCACTTCCAGAAATGAGCATTCCCAGTAGATGGCAGCATTGTTTTATGTTCTTTAAAGGTTCAACAGTAAATTGGTCACTGATCATTCCAGTAACAATTCCATTAATTGGACAGTTATATATTTGCGAGTAAGGGTCACTTTTTTCTTCCATTTAGTTTATCTCCCTTGAAGAAAACAGGCAAATGTCTGTGCATCACCGTGGCACTTTCCCCTGTTCCCCTTGCTTTGCCCTGTGCTTATTGACATCTGGCCCAACATTTGTTTCCAACACTCTCTTGCTCTTAGGGAAGGACTTCAGTCCATGAGAAACTGATCTTGGCCGGTGTGCTGAGATGCCTCATAGAGGGGCACACAAAGGACCTCGTCAACACCGGGACCAGCAGACGGAGCAGTGTGGGCTGCGTGCACATGCACATCACAGCGCTCTGCTCATCCCCGGGCTTCCGTGGGTTTCCTGCCCACTGTACATGCAGAGCTAGGGTGATGGCTGGGTACTGAGGCTAAAACCCCAGCATCTCTGGCCAGGGTCCCTGATGACTTCTGCTTGTATCATTGCAGCTGCGTCGTTGGCTACGTTGGGGAGCGATGCGAGCACCGAGATCTGAAATGGTGGGAGCTGCGCCACGCTGGACACGGGCAGCAGCGGGACGTCACAGTGGCGGCCGTCTGTGTGGTGGCACTTGTCCTCCTGCTCGTGCTGGGGCTGTGGGGGGCACACTACTACAGGTGACCCTTTCTTGCTCAGTATTTCATGCTCCTTGTGCACCCCCCCCCCCAGGCCAGGACAGTGTCTGGCTCCTTGCGATGAACTTTAGCTCTGTACTTGCTCAACTTAGAAAGCAGAGTAACAGCTTTCTTCAAAGTCTGGGATGTCACTGTACCCAGGCCTCAGACGGTCTGCTTTCCTTGTTCCACTCCAGTCTTGGTGGCTGCACCTGAGGGGTGTGAGGCTGTCCGTTGGCACCATGGTCTTTACGTCTCTCCTCCCTTCAACAGTCACAGGCTCTTCCCCCAGGCACATTGCTGTGAGTTTTCATGGCTGCCTTCTGTTGAGTTCATTTCCCACAAAATACTACCTTTTTTCAAAGAAATCATTACCCCTTGGTTAGGGAAGGACATCTCTGCTCCTTGGATTTTGTGTTTTCAGTAATTTAAAATTAACAGTTAAAATCTTGTATGGCTCAGGAACACACATTTAATTTTTAAAAACTAATGCTTGGTTAGGGTGAAGGTAGAAGCACCATGCCACTCGCCTTCCATTTTCTTAAAATGTAGGGCCGTCAGTGTCAGTGAATACTGTAAAACACTTTGTGCACTGTTACAGTTAGTACTGCACTAAATCAGTGAGTCATAAAGTTGTGAGACTGAAGGTCACCTGTGAATAAGTGGGTCTTAGCCATAAATTAAGACTCACTTTTACGGCTAAGACCCACTGACTCAACAGTCCAGATTCTCTGGGAAGGTATAGTGTACCCACTGCCATCTGAAGATAAAACTGCAGCCACACTTAGCCACACAACACAGCCACTCCAGGGTTAGCAGTCTTGCATTTTGGAAAATTCCACAGATCAGCCAAGCTGTTGTCACCCGAGGTCCCTCCATATCCTGCCATACCACTGCAGTGGTTGAGAGCACAGGCTCTGGAATCTGGTTGAACATTTTTGCTCATGGTGTGACTGAAAAATATGGTGACTATTTACATTTTTAAATTTTATTGTAATAAAAGACATGCTGTCACTAATCTTTGTAACATTCATCTCTGTCCCCGGTTCAAATACGTTTATCCCATCATTCTTGTCACTTTCTGAAGTAGTTCTGGGACTCTTCTTTCCTGAGTGTCTTTATCATGCTGTGGTGGCTGTCTCGAGGTCCTGAATTGATTTAATATATTGACCTTTCATGATCATTTTGACTTTGGGCAGGACCAGAAGAAACATGGCATGGGATCTGGTGAATAAGACAGATGAGGACACATTGTCACAGTTCTCAAACCTGCGTTTCCATTGGGCGGTGCTCAGCAGCACCATTCACTGTAATTTTGATCACACTTCATAAAGACACGCATGAAAGAGCACTTCCAGAATTGCTTGGGGAAGTGGCAAGAACAATGGGCTAAGTGTATTTGAAGGGAAGGGAGTATTGTTAGGGGAATGAGTAGCAATGCGTCTTTTTAAAACATACACCTTATAGGTCGATCACACTTTGTTTCTACTTGACTGCATGTATATTGTGGTATTGATGGATTTATCCTAAGATAGTTGTCCCTGACTGTCAGTGAGTGGAATGAATGCATTGCTTTGTTTTGAGGTTGTCTGAAATCTTGGCTTTATCTCAGGATGAAGAAGCTGACACTGAAAACCCCAGAAAATCCTTGTAAAGAGTCAAGTGGAGATGTGAGCGGTGGGAGTCCTGCTGAAAGTGAAAATGGGATGTCTTCCTGCCCCCGACCTTGGGTAATGTGACCACGCAGATGGAGCTAGGAATTGGCTTGATATGGGTCCCACTTTACTTTCTTTTTCTGTCATTCTCCACAGAGTTCAGAGTGACTAGAATCTATTAACTCCTGGCTGGGGACCTGACCTGTTAGCCAGCACCACACCAGCTGGCGAGGTCCCGGAGGGATTGTGGGGGGTTGTGTACTACCTTAAGGGAATCTGATGATGCTAACATAGCACCAGAATTTATTTTATTTTATTTTATTCTTTATTTTTTCCATAATTTTATTGAAAGAAAAATAGCAATGAGACAGTTTCAAATCAAATTGGTATGACAGTTTCAATAATTAACACATTGCATACTCTCTTCCTAGTGGTTATTTGCTGTACAAGATGT